CACCACATGCCAGCCAGCCCCGCCCCCTGGTGGGCTGAGCTGGCCACACACACACAATAAATAAATGTAATAAATAAAAATAAATAATTTTTTAAAAAATCAGAATAAATATGTGCTGTGTCATCATTGGTCATGTGGAAATTCAAATGATTGTACTTGGAACTATATCCAGTTGCTTCTTTTCACAGAAAAAGATCTATAAAGATCAGATGGAATATATGTTGCAGAATCATGTGTTTCCTCTCTTCAGCAGTGAACTAGGCTACATGAGAGCAAGGGTATGTTTTAAAGCTGTATTTTATACATTTTACATAACAAATTACTGAATTTTTCATTTAAGACTTCTGTTTTTTTTAAAAAAAAGACTTCTGTTAAATGTAAATCTTGAAATGGCTGCTGTAATGTGTGCATAGTTTCTGTCTGTGTCTGGTAGCAGTGTCTGTCTGTGTTTTGCATTCAGATCTTGCTATCCACACAAGCATCATGCGGCCAGAGAATAACTTGGGATCATAGTACTGGTCTAGTGTTGTCCTTTTGGACCTGTTTACCACTGGCCAGCCTCCAAATTCCCAGACACAGGATTCTAGGAAGAGATTAGCTTGGTGATTTTATTGTAAGATATCTAAAGTCACTGTGTTCTTTTAAAAGGCTTGCTGGGTACTTCACTATTTTTGTGAAGTGAAGTTCAAAAGCGATCAGAATCTACAAACAGCATTAGAGCTGACAAGAAGATGTCTGATAGATGATAGAGAAATGCCTGTGAAAGTGGAAGCTGCCATTGCACTCCAGGTGTTGATCAGCAATCAAGAAAAAGGTAAAGAATTTTTATGTAAATAATGTCTTGGGCCGGCAAGATAGCTCAACAGACTAAGCACCTGCTTATTAGGCAAGCTCAGGGACTGGGGTTTAATTCCCCAGTACCCCACACCATGCCACCCTGCCCTTGGTTTGCTGAGTCTGAGACTAAGTCCAGTCGTGGTGGCGCACGCTTGTAATCCCAGCACTGGGAGGCTGAAAACCAGGAGGATCACTACAAGTCTGACCTGTGTGGTCAGAAAATTAACATACTGTTTATTTGAAAGTACTTCTTGGTGTGTGATACTGACATTGAATTTATAGCCTTCATAGTTAAAGCACTCTACCACTGACATTGTAAGCTACTGTGTACTTTTATCTTTTTTGAGACAGGATCTCACTATGCAGCACAGGCTGGCCTTGAGCTCACTTGTAGCCTGGTCTCAAATTTGCAGCAGTCCTGCCTCAGTGCTGGGATTACAGGCATGCACCACCAAAGCTGGCCATTCATTCACTCATTCATTTAGGTAATGGGAATCAAACTCAGGACCTTGCACTATCCAGGGGAGGTCCTTCAGTGCAGTTAAAAATAATTTTTTTTTTTTTTTTTTTTAGTGCACGTTATATAAATTTTTTAAAAAGATTAGGGTGCCAAAATGTATGTCTTTTTCTTGCAGCTAAAGAATACATCACACCATTTATCAGACCTGTAATGCAGGCTCTTCTTCATATTATACGAGAAACAGAAAATGATGATCTTACCAATGTAATTCAGAAAATGATTTGTGAATATAGTGAAGAGGTTACTCCTATTGCAGTAGAAATGACACAACATTTGGTATGTGGTTTCAACCTATGGTTTTTTGCAGGTATTTTATTTTATTGTGGAATGGGGCAGTGAGCTAGGGTCTCACTATGTAGTTGAGGCTTGCCTTGAACTCACTTTGTAGCCCAGGATGGTCTCAAATTCCCTCCAATCCTCTCTCAGCTTCCTAATGTATTACTGTGCCTGGCGGGTATTTCAATTATTTCTTCAGTATGTTGCAGGTAATGAGTCACAAGTGGCCTAACTTCTGTGTAAAGCAGATATTTTAGAGTTTATTACAAGGTACAGCGTTAAAACCCCTTGACAGATATTCACCTCATTTAATTGTGATACCTACCATCCTATGTGAGTATTATTGGCACATTAGTTTACAAGAAGAAAATATGAGATTAAAAATTTGTCTAAGCTAGATGTACTAGACCTGGGATTTGTACTTGGATTCCTCCCCCCACCCCCCTGTGCTGGGGATCAAACTCAGAACCTTTTGATTGCCAAGCAGGCACTTATGCTTCTGAGCTGTATCCCCAGCCCAGTTCTTAGGTCTTTAGAATGTATATTCGTAACTTCCTCAAGCTGTAGCATCAGTGTAGATCCATAGAATACTCAAAATAATAGATTCAGGTTTTTGGTTTATTGGGTGGTTTTGTTTAGTTACTTTCAGTCATATTTTATCAGTACATTTCAGACATAGAAATATAATGACCACAGTCATCGTAGAGAACCTACACCCATACATGCAACCTGTCTCCTTCCTCCCATTCTCCTTCCCTCCCCTCAACGCTTCTGGTGCTCCTCATCCACAAAAGTCCTGTTTCCATGTTCTTCCTCCCCTCATTTTTTTCCTTTCTCCTTCAACCCTTCCCTGTCCCCCCTCCCTATCCCAACATTTTCCTCCCATTTCACAATACTTATACGTTTTGGTCCTTATTTACACTTTCAATTTCTTATATTAGAAAACAATAGCGTATGTGTGTCTGATTTATTTCACTTGAAAATATGGTCTTACCCATTTACTTAGAAATGTGTCAGGCTCATCCTTCTGTATGACAGAATAGTACTCCACTGTATGAAAAAACATTTTTGGAATCCATTTACCAGTTGATGGGCATATTGGGGTAGTTTATAAGATTTGGCTATTATCAGCTATGCCACTGTAAACACATTTATGCATATATTGCTATGGTATGATGCTTTTAATTCTTTCAGGGAGATAACCAGGAAAGGGTTGAATGGAACCTCTAGGTTTGTTTTGTTTTCTTATGTTGAGACAGGGTCTCACTATGTAGCCCAGGCTGGCCTCAACTCATGGCAGCCCTTTTGCCTCAGCCTCCTGAATGATCGGAGTATAAGTATACACCATGATGCCTTGTTATGTTGTTGTTCTGAAAACAATACTCATGCAGTTTAGGCTAATTTGAACTCAGTATAGAAGCCAGGATGGCCTCAAATTCAGTGATCCTCAGTCCTCAGCCTCTGGAGTGCTGTATTATAGGTAGACAACATCATGCCCAGCTCATGATTTAGTTTTATAGAATAAATCAACAGTCTTCTTGGTGATGAAATATGCTTGTATCTGGGCATTTTCAAATGCCATATATATACATATATGGCATGTATGTATGTGTGTATTCCCTGTTGATTGTGATTTATAAGTGATGGGGTCCAATTATGTTACCCAGGCTAGTTCTGAAATGATGAGCTCAAGTGGTTCCTGTGTAAACTGCAGATTAGCTGGAACAACCAGATGTTCACCACTGTACCCTAGTTTTAGCCACTGATATTAATGAAAGTATTCACAATAGTTTCTTTTTGTTTTTTGAGACATAGCTTTGCTATGTTGTGCAGGCTGGCCTTGCATGCTTGTTAGCTCACGTTGGCCTCTTAACTTGCAATCCTCTTGCCTCAGCTTCCTCTTGAGTGCTGAGATTTTTGACATGTGTCACCATGCCTGCTTTACTCACAGTATTAAATACGTTCTGTGCCTTGATTCATTTAATCCTCACAGTATCTTGTGAAATTGAAATTCTCAAAATGACCTGTCAGGAGAAAGATCAAGCCGGGCGTGTTGGTACATGCCTGTAATCCTAGTACTTGGAGGTTAGGCAGGAGGATTGCAGTGAGTTTTAGGCCAGCCTGGGCTACAAAATGAGTTCAAAGCCTACCTGAACTACCTAGCAATACCCTACCTGAAAAAAAAGAAAAGAAAAGGAGAGATAAAAAACAAAAGTCAAGTACTGGTTTATTTATAGTCACCCAGTGAATGGCAGAGAAAGACCATTTGATTAGAAAGTCCAAGATACTCATTATTAATTTGGAGATACTGGTGTGCTATGCACATTTTTAAAGTATTGCTGGGCATGGTAGTGTAGATTTGAAATCCCAGTACTCAGGGCTGAGGTGGGAATATCCCTGGGAGTTCAAGGCCAGCCTGGAGTACATAGATCCTGTCTTACAAAACCCAACAAAAATAAAGTCAGTCAGTCTTGGGCCAAAACATGTTACAATGCTTTGGTGACAAATCCCTTTGCTTTCTCTTGACTGTAGGCAATGACATTTAACCAAGTAATCCAGACAGGGCCAGATGAAGAAGGAAGTGACGACAAAGCAGTTACGGCCATGGGAATTCTTAATACAATTGACACACTTCTTAGTGTAGTGGAAGATCATAAAGAGGTAAAAAAAAAAAAAAGATTCAGTGTTACACAGGTTTTATCGTCATTTTTACATTGACTTTTATAGGGCTTTGATTTGATAACTGTGTGATCATCTCATACTGATTGTATTATTTTCATTTTTGTGTTGCTTTGTTATAAATTCATAGTTTTAGTGTGCTAGGAGATGGAATGGGATGCAGCTGTATGTTTTGCCTTCTCTTTATTGTGGGGCTCAGATTTTGGTTTTCTAATAATTTGTTTAAAAAACAATAATTTTTCAAAGCCAGAAGTCTAGTGGTGGTCCTTAGGAAAGCATATTATTGGGCCGGGGAGATAGCTCAGTTGAATAAGCACTTCCCTGGCAAGCGCAAGGACCTGAGTTCAATCCCCAGTTCCACAAAAAAAAAAAAAAAAAAATATTATTGCTAGTTTCATTGTAAAAAAATATTCACAACACTTGGCAAAATAGGTGTGCCACTTTTAAGTTACACTTACATGTCTTATTTACTAGGATTGACTACATCCAAATCATTTTGCAACTATCACCATTGTCTTCTTAGGTTTTGGGTTTTTTTTTTCTGTCCTATCTTTTAGAAAAAGAAAATTATCACAAATTTTAAGTTTTTGATTTTTTTTTAATTTAATTTTATTTTTTTGTACTAGGAATTGATCTCATGACCTCCTGCTTACCAGCCCCATAAATTGATTTTAAAGCATATAGAAAAGAAGAACAGAGAAAACTATAACTATTATAATATCACCTAAATTTCCCTTCTTCCTTCCCTTCCTCCCTTCCATTTATCCATCTGTCCATCTATCCTGTAATGGAGATTGAACCCAGGGCCTTCACGCTGAGCTTCATCCTTAGCAAAATTTCTATGTTGAGTCAGTTGTCTTACTAGGTTGCTAAATTGCTCAGGGTAGGTTTGAATTTTATCCATCAGTCTCCCAGAATGCTAGTATTACATATGTCACTGTTACTGGCTTCATTTTTCTTTATTTTCGTTAGATTTCATCTCCAGTAGAAAAACAACTAAAGATCATTGCTTGTGTGTATGTGGTGCTTGGGGCTGAACATGGGTCTCCATGCATGCTATGCAAGTGCACCTCTACCCCCACCCACACCCCAATAAGCAGATAGATGTAATGGAACCCTTCAGAGGACTACTTCCTAACTACTTTCTTCCGCTGGAAGTAGCCACTGTAATGAGCTCATAATGGTAGTTTATATATTTTCTATCCATAAGTCGTAGGGGGGTTTTTTGGCATATGTTTGGAGATCTGCAAGTTTGGTGATCTTTGCAATTTTTCAGTAAAATATTTTTTAATTCTGTATAATTGGAAATAAGCAGAAGCTGTGAAAATGATTAAAATAAAATATTTTAAACAGTTGGAAAATGGACTATATGCTATGTATTTGAAATAGATGTTTACCTCTATATTTGATTGGTAGGTAAAAATCTTACTCATATTTTCATCCTTAATATCTGTTGGCCTTTACAACAGATTTGGACTACAGTGAAGGAATTTACATTTTCCATTTATCTTGATATATTTGAGGCCTGAGTTCACATGCTGTGGCGTACTCTGTAATGTTTGAGTTGTATTGTACATATTTTAGTAATTAACTCAATTTTTTTTTTTTTTTTAGATAACTCAGCAGCTCGAGGGAATCTGCTTACAGGTCATTGGCACTGTTTTACAACAGCATGTCTTAGGTATTACTTAGGTATTACTTCTGATTGTGCTATGAATTGAGTGATTTCACCTGAGTAAGCATTTTCCTAATGATTCTGTCTGTGCTCTCTTTGAAGAATTCTATGAAGAGATCTTCTCATTGGCACATAGCTTGACATGTCAGCAAGTGTCTCCGCAAATGTGGCAGCTGCTTCCTCTTGTATTTGAGGTGTTTCAGCAGGATGGCTTTGATTACTTTACAGGTCCGTCAGATCAGCCTGGAAAGTACCCACAATGCCCCTTCCAGTTTTAAATCATTGTATCTTAACCTTGAACATACACTTTGTAATGCTCATAGGTGATAATATGATTGATTTCATATATATATATATATATATCTGGATTCAGTTAACACATAATTCTGTGAATAAGTGTGTATAATCTTTGCTAATAAATTCAGAGGAATTTGCTTTAATAGGGTTATATGCCTACATTAAAAATGAATACATTAGGGGCCGGGGAGATGGCTTAGTAGGATAAGCGCTTGACTGGCAAACGCAAGGATCTGAGTTCAATCCCCAGTTCTGCAAATAAATAAATAAGTAAAATAAAATAAAAATAAAAATGAATACATCTTAAGGGGCTGGAGAGATGGCTCAGTGAAATAAGCACTTCCCTGGCAAGTGCAAGGGCCTGAGTTCAATCCTTGGTTCTGCCAAGAAAAAAAGAATATATCTTAAAAGTGAATGACAGGGGCCGGGGAGATGGCTCAGTAGGATAAGCGCTTGACTGGCAAATGCAAGGATCTGAGTTCAATCCCCGGTTCTGCCAAAAAAAAAAAGTGAATGACTGTCGGGCATGGTAGCGCATGCTTGTTATCCCAGCTCTTGGGAAGCTGAGGCAGGTGGATCAGTGCTAGTTCAAGACCAGCCTGGGCTACAAAGTGACCTCAAGGCCAGCCTGAACTGCATAATGACACCCTGTCTCAGAAAAAAGAATGACACAAAATGACCTTAAAAAATTTGCCTTTGGGGGCTGGTGAGATGGCTCAGTGGTCTAAAGCACCTACTTAGAACAAACTAAGCTAAGCAAAGCACAGGGACCACGGTTCAATCCCCCAGCACCACATGCCAGCCCGCCCCGCCCCCTGGTGGGCTGAGCTGGCCACACACACAAAATAAATGAATAAATAAATAATAAAAAAATAAAATAAAATGGCATTTTAAAAAGAAATTTGCCTTTGTCTAAGAAAATGTGTCAGAAAATGAAGCATTTATATTAATGAAGACATTAACTTTTTTATTCATGTAGATATGATGCCTCTTCTGCATAATTATGTAACAGTGGATACAGACACACTTTTATCTGATACCAAGTATCTTGAAATGATATACAGTATGTGCAAAAAGGTAGGTCATTTTTAGATAATAGATTTTACTAAGTTTCTCCTATAAAATTATAAAGATACCTGAGATTTACATGGGCCTGACAAAATTAAGACCTTTAAAAGTTACAAAAAACAACCAAAAAAGTCTTCAGTTTCTAGGTGTCACAGTAATGCATATCTTCTATCTACCTTCTTGTGTTTACTTGGAGTTGTAAATGTTTTGGTTTTTAGTGCCTAGAGTTTATTCTAGTTCTCTGGAACCAAAAGAAAAAATTGAAACTTGAGAGGATAAGGAATGGATAGAGATATGAAGGAAATGCCTGGTTGCAATTTTAGGGAATCTATACAGTAATAATTTAGAAAAACAAAAGATTCTAAGATCTACATGTAGGTTTTGAAAAAAATAATCAGAAGTACTCTGCCGTTTAATGAGAACTCCAAAGACAAAAATGTAGGGTGTATACTCTTGTGTTTTGTGTTTTTTTGCTTTTTTTTTTTTTTTTTGAGACAGGGTCTCATTATGTAATCAAAGCTGGTCTTGAGTTCACATTGTACCCCAGGCCAGCTTTAAAGCTATAGAGATCCTCCTGCCTCAGGCTCCCAGGTATTGGTACTATAGGCATGCGCCATTGTGTCCAGGCAAAAATAATACTATTCATAGTCAGGTGTTGTAGTGCATACCTGTAATCCCAGCTCTCTCGAGGCTGAGGTAGGAGCATCACCCTGAATTCATGCCTGGACTACATAGTGAAACCCTGTCTCAAAAACAATAAAGGGCCGGCGAGATAGCTCAGAGGACAAAGTGCCTCCTTTGGCAAGCACAGGGTCCAGGGTTTGATCCCCAGTCCCACATGCCTGACTGGTCCTGCCTCCAGGGTTCTCAGCCAGGGACAGAGTGTGGGCATGGTGGCATACTCCTATAATCCCGGCACCGGGGAGGCTGAAAACAGGAAGATCCTATGAGGTTAGGGATAGATTTCCCACCCTTTTTTGTTTGTTTTCTAAGACAGAATCTCACTGTGTACACCAATCAGGCTGACCCTAACTTGGCAGTGTTCCTGCCTCAGCCTCCAGGGAGCTGGGATTTACAGGAATAGGCTACCATACCTGGCTAATTTTCCCCTATTACTCAGTAGGGAAGCAAGTATTTGAATTACAGTCTGTTAGTATAATTGGCAGTACAATTTCTAACAGTGTTGAGAGGCAAAAGGCCATGAAAATTGGTTTTGCTGCCAAGTTTGGTGGATATACCTTTTGTCTCAGCTGCTGGGAGGCTGAGCAGGAAGATGGCTTGATCCCAGAAGTTTACTGTCAGCCTGGACAATATTGTGGTACTCTGTCTCATATGTATTTATTTATTTTTGTATTTATTTATTTATTTATTTTGTATTTTAGGGAAGGGTCTACAGGGTGTTCAGGGTCTCACTACTAGATCCGACTTGCAGTGATCCACCTTTTTACAGCCTCCCAGGAGCTGGGATTACAGGCAGGCGCCACCACGCCCATGCCATCTCGGGCCCTGGGGGTGGGTCCAGGGCCAGCACAGCAGGCCCAGTGATCAAACCTCTGGCTCCTTCGCCTGCTTGCAGGTACTTTAATAAGCTGCGCTATTTGCAGTCAAATGCTCTACCACTGAGCTGTACCCCCCTGCTGAGCTATTTGGCCGGCCCTCCTATTTTTTTAAAAAAGGTTTTGATCTATAAGTTCTCACGTATATTTGTCACTTGCTAGTATCTTTTCTTTGACATTGGTCATAATCTTATTTACTGCCAGTAAACAAGCCTACTGATACGTCCATTTACTTTGCTATTTCAGAACATTTATTTTTAGTTTACTATTGCTGTGTAGAATGTCAAGCTAGTGTTGGGTTTTTTTAATGTATTTGGTACAGGGTCTCACTACACAGCTCAGACTTGCAGTGATCCTCCTATTTTTAGCCTCCCCAGCACAGGGATTATAGGCATGCACTACCTGCCACGTCTCTGGTTGGCTCGGTGCGCTCAAAGGTGGGGCTAGTGCAGCATGTGGTGTTGGGGATCAAACCTGGTCTCTGCTCTTGCCTAAGCAGGCGTTTAGTTCACAGTGCTGTCTCACTGGCCCTTTTATTTCTTGTCTAGGGCTTATAGACTAACATTTGCAATCAGCTGGCTGTTGTTTTTTCCTCCCATTCCCTCCACTCTAACTCCTTTTTATTTTTTAAGATTTATTACAGTTAACAACATGTTGCAGGCAAGCCAAATAGCTCAATGGATTAAAGCACCTGCAAGCAGGCACAGGGGCTAGGGGTTTGATCCCCACCCCTGGGGCGCACTGAGATAGCGATTGAGACTGGGCGTGGTGGCGCAGGCCTGTAATCCCAGCACTTGGGAGGCAGAGACAGAAGGAACACCATGAATTTGAGGCCTGAGCTACATAGTGAAATGCTGTCTCAAAAAAAACAAAAATTAATTGATTAATTTCAGATTTACATAAAATTTGTTAGTGTGAAGAATCAGTCTTCAGGGGCTGGTGAGATGGCTCAGTGGTCTAAAGCACCTACTTAGAACAAGCTTAGCAAAGCACAGGGACCACGGTTCAATCCCCCAGCACCACATGCCAGCCAGCCCCGCCCCCTGGTGGGCTTAGCTTGCCCCCCACACACACACATAAATAAATAAAATTTAAAAAAAAAAGAATCAGTCTTCAGGGCTGGGGAGATGGCTCAGTAGTATAAGGACTTCTCTGGCAAGCACAAGGGCCTGAGTTCAATCCCCGGTTCCACAAAAAAATAAAATAAAATAAAAATTGTGACTTTCATTGACGAAGAATGACTAATATCCTTTTAATTATATTCCTTAAAAATGAAAATCCTGGGCTGGTGAGATGGCTCAGTGGTCTAAAGCACCTAATTAGAACAAGCTTAGCAAAGCACAGGGACCATGGTTCAATCCCCCAGCACCACATGCCAGCCAGCCCCGCCCCCTGGTGGGCTGAGCTGGCCACACACACACACACACACACATAAATAAATGAAAATCCTGGGCCAGGCAAATAGCTCAGCAGATTAAAGTGCCTGCAAACAGGCGTTGGGGCCAGGGGTGTAATCCCCAGGCCTGCCGTGGTGGCAGGCGCCTGCTCAGGACCCTGTGCTTGCTAGGCAAGCACTTATTCCACTGAGCTATCTCCCCAGCCCTTCATTTGTTATATTTTATGAGACTGTGCTTTATGGGGATATAAAAGTTTTTGTAGGAACAACAGTATTCTAGGATTTTTTTTTTATATATATATATAGCTATGGGCCAGATAACACCGAGAAAGGTTAAGTGTTTTGGCTTCACCTTTGTATGGCAAGTTAGGGGTTGTCAACCTACTACAGTTCACAATAGCACTTTAAGATTAGGTGGCTTAAAAAAAAAAAAGCCCTCCTGGGAGATGGCTCAGTGGAATAAGCGCTTCCCTGGCAAGTGCAAGGGCCTGAGTTCAATCCCCGGTTCCGCCAAAAAAAAAAGGATTGGGTGGCTTTGATCACATAGACCAGAACTCCCAAGGATAGACTATAGGAAAAAGGCAAGTTCCAGATACTGAAATGTACTTCAGTCAAATTTATTCATTGAACATTGTTAGAATACTTTTTTAAGTTAGTGAAAGTGAACCTATGGCATACGTGCCTCAGCCAGCTGTTCATTATCATTGAAAGCTCCATAAGGTTTACCATCACTGCCCTAAGTAATACGCAGAGACTGTATAAAAGGAAGAGAAATTATTTCTCTGATACAGTGTTTTCATGAAGGCTTGTTGCAGTTTATGTTTTGTGTTGATAGGTTCTTACAGGAGTTGCAGGGGAAGATGCAGAGTGTCATGCTGCAAAATTGTTAGAGGTCATCATTCTACAATGCAAAGGGCGTGGCATCGACCAGGTCAGTAAAGCTAACTTAGGGGCAGGATGAGCAGGGTGTTAAACCCAGGGCCTGATGCATGCTAAGCACTGTCTACTAGTAGGTTTCTTTTTTTTTTACTACTAGGTTTCATTCTCAGCCCAAGGCTAATTTAAATTCCTGGTTGAGGCTTCCAAGAAAGACTTCCTTTGTTCTCGTATATTGTGCATAATGTTGATTATAATACCTGAATAATAAACATTTTTAAACTTTTAAAATCTATATATAATAATGATCATATAGTATATGAAAACATGTTTGGTTAGTCTTATGTACGTTTTGTTAGCATGCAAGGTATGCATTGGCTTAAGGATTTTTGCTAGGTTTGTAATTGCATTTCTGTAGACAGTTTTAATATAAATGTTGGAAAACGGGGCTGGGAAGATGGCTCAGTAGAAAGGGCCTGAGTTCAATCCCCGGCCCCACAAAAATAAATAAATAAATAAATAAATAAATAAATAAATAAATAAATGTGTGTGTGTGTGTATGTATGTGTGTGTAGTTTGAATTCTATTGGTTACAGCCTTGGATTATCCTTCATCTTTTTACAGTGCATTCCCTTGTTCGTGGAAGCAGCTTTAGAGAGACTGACAAGAGAGGTTAAGACAAGTGAACTCCGAACAATGTGCCTGCAGGTTGCAATTGCAGCTTTGTATTATAATCCCCACCTGCTCCTCAACACCTTAGAAAATCTTCGTTTCCCTAATAATGTGGAGCCAGTTACAAATCATTTTATTACACAGTGGCTTAATGACGTTGACTGTTTCTTGGGGTAAGTGATGTAGATTACATCTTTGAGAAGAACTATTTATTTAAAAAAAAA